CCCTGTTTCTGGATTGATTTTCATTTCCATACCATGAAAGGCCTTTTGTTTCCTCTCCAAGGTGACTGACTGGGTTGGGAGGTGACAGAAACATCACAGGCAGTCAGGTCCATCCATTCATTGCCCAATGCTGCACTGCAGAGGTCTCTGTGACATTTAAATCTAGAGTGGCAATCACTTGGGAAAGGGTGCAGCCATTCAAAGAGCAGGCGAGAGCACCCAGGGCTTTTCGAGCTTAAATATTAGGATCCTGCCAAGCCCCAACACTAAATGTTTCAGTCCTCTGGGTTTTCAAGGCAAGGAAGGAAGGCATGTGTGTTTCACATGGCGAGAGCCTGCCGGGTGTGCAGATGGGGATTTTATGGCTTGTCGAATGCTTTTCTATTTTAATGAAGAGAATAAATTACAACAGCAGTGTGATTTCATTCCCTACCCCATGTGCTGCAGTAATGAAATCAAAAGTAGCCCTCTGTCCCGGGCTCCTCTCTGCATTGTGTGGTTTACTCCAAGCCTCATGGTGATTTCTCAAGAACATCACATCACACTGGCTGTAAAGCGAGAAGGGAAAATCTCTAAAGGCACACACTGGATGCAGAGAGAAGACACAGCGTCCTCTGGTCATCAGGAGGTCAGAGTCAGAGCCTGCCATTTTCTGCAGCAGTGTATAGGCACAGGGGAGGCCTGTGTGTGCATGGATAAACACAGAGAGTTTGACTGATGTCCTGTTACCCCCAGGGAGGTGTCTAGGAGGCCCAGGCAGGCTCTGCTCCTCTGACCTTGGGAGTATCCTAAGATATATGGCTTTAACTATGACCACTATTGATCATTCTTACTAAATTGACATCAACTGATTCTTTTTTAAAATATACTTTTATGTGTGTATGAATTTGTAGTATGTGTGTTTACATGTTTGTATGCATGGATGCACATATGTGGAGGTTTGAGGTTGATGAGAGGTGTCTTCGATCTCTTTCCATGTTTTATTGTTTTATTTATTTATCGAGACAGGGTAACTCATTGAATCTGGCACTTACTGATTGGCTAAACTGGCTAGCCAGCCAACTTGAGATCCCCTCCTGTCTCTACCTCCTATCTCCTCCTACGAGTGCTGGGGTTATAGATGCATGCCACTGCACCAGTTTTTGTAAGCAGGTTCTGGGGATGGAACACCCATCATCAGACTGAAACATTCACCTCCTGAGCCACCTCACAGGCTCCATGTGTACTTCTGAATTCTTAATAGCCATCCCAGGAATACCCAGGTGGAAGCATCCTTTTCTGATGGGTCTTTCTGACATATCACTTCTGAGAATGAATGCTCAGATCCCAACCAAAGCTGACACCCTCCATGACTGCTTCCAGTGAAGGAGGGACTCCATACGGGTCCGGGTGGGGAAAGAGAATGTTAAGGGGATTGAGACAGTGTGTTCTGGTGGTGGGTGTGTCAACATTGATTAATTGCACACTTAGGACCAGTGTGTATTTGAGAGCACGTAAATTACCCTTCAACTAAAAAAAGATCTCTCAACATTAATAATACAATGCTAAGGACAGTCCTGGTCCAGGCCTTCTGGATATGGAACTACAAGTCAAACAAACACAAGAAAGGAGCCCACTTTGGGCTGAATGCCCCATGAGAGCCGAGAGATCCGTAACGATACTTTTTCTAGGGCACTGTGCTTTGTTCTTATGAAAGCAAATATTGCTGGGCTGTGGTTAGTAAAGTGCTAGACTGCAAGTCCAAGCTGAAAGTGGCTATCTAGGCATGCCTGCCACACTCTTCTCCATGGTGAAGCAGGGGACAGGGGACTTCCCTCCCATCTGAAGCTCATGGCAGAGCTGTGGTCTACAGTGGAAAAGGCGGAGTCAAGAAATCCTGCTTCCCAGAGAGTCTGTGTTTGCCTTCTTTAGGAAAACAGAACATCTGGCCTCCATTGTATAAAATACACAATAATTGTAATTAAAATAATTTATTTAAATTGTCAGGTGCCATCTTATGTCTTATAATCATTCCATCCACAGGATTTCCTCATCATCATAACTATGCTTAGCAATATGTGGTACTTCTTGATGTTAAAAATGAACTACAGGGCTAGAGAGATGGCCCAGCAGACAAAGTGTTCATTGTGCATGAGAATCTGAGTCCAAGTCCTTAAATCCATGGATAGCCAGATGTGGTCATGTGTCTCTGTATTTGTGCTGTTACAGAGAGATGGGAGGCAGGAGGATTCCTAGAAGTTCTAGGCCCTGCAAGTCTGGCATGGGCAGTGGGGAACAATAAGATGTGCTGCCTTAAACAAGGTAGAAGCAAAAACTTAATTACACAAAATTGTCATTTGACCTCCACACACATGCTAGGGCATGCTCATACCTGTACTGACCTATACCACACACACACACACACACACACACACACACACACACACACACACACACACACGTGAATGTTTTCTCTCATTGTTGTTCACTATGACTCTCCTCCCAGCTAAGTGATTTTGCCAGGCCACACACCTATTTATCAATTTCTGACAGAACCAATAACTAGAAATAATACTGAAAATAACTATCATGTTAATGGACTTTAATCATGGACAGACACACAAGCACATGTGTAAAAAACACACAGCATGACAGACTGCAAAATAAATCAACTTCATGAAGTCTGGGCCATAGCATTCCTTTACTGATGGTTAGAACCTCAATAGTATATACTACGTCAACGTTTTTCGGTTAAAGTACTAGGTATACTTGCCTTAAAATATTATATATAAAGGTCTATTGAGCATATATTAATATTTTTGCCTGGAATCCTTAAAGTGCAGCTTTGAACTTGAAATAGCCTCTCAGAATGCACAGTGAATTTCACAAGAGCTTGGTGTAATGAGGATGGTTTACAGAGGCCTTGGGGGATTCTCAGAATGCTGGCTATCTCTCAGGCACTCACATCCACTTTTGTCAACAGACTCATAAGGGACTGTGTACTATTAAATTATTTTCCTAAGACTTATCCTTTCTTTTCATGTCTGTCAGCTTCGGGAAATTTTAAGCAACACTGCTAAAAGGAGTAGGAGATGTGCGTGGCAGCACATACCTTTGATCCCAGTTCTTGGGAGGCCACATCAGATGAGTCTCAGTGAGTTCCAGGTTAACTGGGTCTATTTAGCAAGGTCCAGGCCTGCCAGGGCTGCAAAGTGAGACCTTGTTTCAAATGGGAGGAGGAGAGAAAAAAGAAGGGGAAGAGGACGGGCAGGAGGAAGAAGAGGAAGGAGAAGAAAGACGACAATGGACTGACTGATGACGCAATTTCTGTGGATGGCTAGTAGGTTGTGTGTCCTTTAATAAGTTCAGGCATACCGATCTCAAAGTGGACAGTACACTGACACTGTCTCAACAGAGTCATGGTAAATACAGTCCCTAACTCTGTGGAGAGCACGAACTATCCTAAGTAGCCCTTGAGTCAGCATTGCCGTGTCCTTCACTCACCATGCCCAATGACTGACAGCCAAGTCACACATCTGTGATATGAATGTGCCTCAGAACAACTGAGTAATTGCTCTCCAGGTCACTAGTACATTACTCAGGAAGACTCCTGCTGTTTATCCCAAATGCTGAGCACTGCCTGGCATTTGGGAAGTAACACAACTGGAAACCCAAGTTCACAGTCAGCTCTTAGTACCACAGGGTACCTCTTACTTTCCAAAACGTTACTTGTAACTGCCATAAACAGGAGAAAGCAGAAAGAGATGGCCCTCTGAGACAAACCAACCCTCTGCATTCTTTCCCAATTCGGTGTCTGGCCCCTCTGACCCCTCCACCCCCACCCTGACCTTTCTCCTCCTCACATACAGGAAGCCAGCATGCCGACCGCATTCCACCCCTTTCTATGACACACTCCCAGACTTCTAGCCTTGAGAACTCCCTTCAGTCTCCGAGTGGCTAGATCCTGACTCAGTCCTGCAGCCTGGTGCGTGCCTACCATGAGCCCTTTACTGACTTCTTCCACTGCCTGTGTTAATCATAAACCCCGCCTCCAGTCTTCTACACTTGTCTGACTCCCTTACAGGGCCGCCAGTTCCCAAACGACTGCACACATTTCATTTCTCCTTGAATCCCTGGGGCATACCAAGATCTGCCTGGATGAAATGCTGCCGAGTCAAAACAGCATGTGTTTCATGTTAACTTCATCAGAGCAAATTATTCACTTATGTCCTTGCCATTCCTACTTGTTTTGTCAAAATAATTCCCGATACTTGCCGTGTTCTAAAGATTCCATCCCTAAAACCTAGTCCCCAAGAGGTCACTTGTTTGCCTATTAAATTGGTTAGTCCCAAGTATATAAAAACCAGCCTTTGTAAACCATAACACATGACATAATCTGTTCCCCTCTGGTACCCAACTGATACTAAAATATGCCCATCTGTTCCGCTGAATACTTGTATGAGAAAGAAGGCGAGGGTTAGGAGCAGAGACAAAAATGGGAGGAAGAACAGAAGCCCAGTAGGAACAAAGAAGGGGAAAACAATACAATCTGTATGGCTGGCCCTTGATAATTATTTAGAGAAGTCATTTCCACAAATGGGAAAGAGAGAGATCCCAACAGAAAATGAGATGATAAGGCACTTGGGTGGGAGCGAAGCTTTCACACAGGGGGATAACTGTGCTGGCAAGGGTTCGTGTCCAGTCACAAAGGTATGGATGTCAACATCGAACGGAAGATAAATTTAAACTTTAAAGAGGGAGGGTGAAACCCATATGCAAAACAGAAACACATTTCATGCAAAAGTGGACCGAACGGGCTCTCAATTGCCTTTTCCACAAAGGACTAGGTCCTTGGTCCCCTTTAGTGAAATTAGCCACCGTGAAGACAGTGCAGCCTCAATATATCACAGGCTGTACAACTGCACATGAAATAGTGTTTTCAGTTTGATGGACCACACAATGGCTGGGTGGGGTGGGGGAGGGAAGAAGGGTCTGGTAACTGCGTCTAAAGAAATAAGGAATGTTCAGCTTGGAGAGGCAACGGCATCCGTGTACCACTGCATATTAGCAGCATACGGGCGGACATAACTAAGTACTTGGTTTAGTCTAAGTAAGAGAGCGTGTTGTAACAATGAGTTCTTCATAGGAGGATCATGTTAGAGGTGGGATACTTCCATACATAGAATATTCATATACAGAGACTGGTGAGAGAGAGATTCCTGAGCCCTTGTCCGGGAGAGGCCCTGGTTGTGTGACCCTGGAGCTCCCTCCTGTCTCTGCCATTCCTTGACTCCGGAGACCAGGGAATTTTCCATGCGACTCTGCCCTTCACAGAGAGAGGCTGCATCTGTCCTTTATGTGAATATTGTACAATCCTACGCTATCCCCTCTCCCCACATAAAATAAATGAAATTATTCATGTGCTCACTCTAATGGAGTAACTGAACAATAGATTTTAATCTGTAGTCCATGAAAACCATCATGAATACATTAAATAGAATTTGAGTGATGCCTGCCGTGGAGATTTAAATCCCAGTGTTCACAGTAAAAGGGAATGAAACTGTGCGTGTTGTCTCAGGATGTAAATGTGATTCACTTTTACACGTAACACTGAAGTCATGGAACACAGTAGTGGTCCCAGCTCGGCACTTCCCAGATGAAGAGCAGCCAATGCTCCCCAGGTAAGACAAGAGAAATCAAAGCAGAAATACATTGAAAAGTCTTGACCACTTGGGATTTGATTAAACTATCAAGGGGTTCATCCTTGGCATGAAATTTCAGGGAAAAAAAGCAAAACAAAACAAATCAAAACACATTCATTCCCTCCCCAATAATTAAATCTGAATGTGCCGATGAATGAAATACCTCATTGATAGGTAGAAAGTCCATCTAGGCCTTGGCTGGCTAAGGATGTGAGTTTAGGAGGTTTAAGTGTCCTTCCTGCAGCTAAGGTGAGGTGGGCAGGAGGAAGGGTCAAAATTCAAAACAATCAAAACAGAAGGTTGGGTAGTGAGACACATGACTTGAGGAGTTCGTTTGTGTATGAAAGATCAAGGGATAGTAGAAAATTTAGGAAGACATAATACTCAGTGGCACACTAGGGACTTGAAAAATGAGAGCTAGACTCCCAGAGAGAGGGGGACAGCAGCCTGGGGTCACAGACAGGAGGGGAAGAAGTCATAGTGGCAGAGCCTAGAGATGCAGAGGCAGGTGGCTGTGCAATTACCACTCTGCTCCGTGGCTCATCCGTGTGTATCTGGCAGGTCTGTCTATGCTTTCATTTGCCTGCCACCAATCACAAGCCAAAATAACGCTAAATGGGAAATTGCAGAGACAAGCATCCCATACTCTGTCAACAGTGAACATCTCTGAGTAGGGCGGTGAGATCTCAGATCACCCTGCTCCAGATGAGGACCACACCAGGCTGGAGGTGAGAACCATTCCTTGTGGGTCATGTACACACTGCCATCATCACTATTCCCTTCTCAGGCACCATGTCAACCGCTACGCTCTTAGCGCTTGCACCATTTGTGTTTAAGGGGCCTTTGTTTTAATTAAAAATGACTCCCAAGTGCAAGGATAGGGATGCTGGCACATTTGTATAATCTTGTTTTTCATTTGCTATCAGTTGATAATCTTACTATACTTAAACTATGAACTAAATTTTACCATAGGTATGGGGATGTTGGGATAACATGGTATCCATATGGTTTAATACTATTTGTGGCTTTAACCATTCACTGGGTATCTTGAAATATCCCCTCTTCAGATCAGGGGGATTGCTATATGGTCTTGGGAGAAGGGCATGGACATCACAATTTTGTCACAAACTCCTGTGGCATGGAAGAATTAGGCCTGGGGAGGCATGGATAGGCTTTCACACTACCTCAGGAAGCTACAGTGCAGCCTCTTCTGTCACCAGCAGAGTCACTGTCCTGAAGGATCCTCACCTGAGCTGATGAGAGCAGGAGGGGGGAATACCAGCCTCTGGCAAACAGTGCCAGCAGTCCCATCATTTAGTCACTCAACCTGACCATGCCAGGCAGGCTTTAGAAAGGGGCATGGCCCTGCCCAAGGCATATGTTGTAGTACAACAGGAGAAAGCTCATCTGGTTAAGGACTCTGGAACCATTATGCTTGGGTCTTCAATGTGAAGTTGATAAGGAAAAAGTCACACTGAAGGGCCTTGCCGAGGACTTTTTCATTTGGGCATCTTCTCAGAAAACTATAACTCCTTAAAGAATATGTTCAATTTCCTGGGAAATATAAACAATTGTATGTACACAGTGAGGATGATGACTGACAGATGTGTAAAATCCATTTCGGGAGATGGGATTATAAATGGATGCTAAGACCTGGAAAAGTGAACACACAGAGCGTGGGGAAGGAGGGGCTAGAGCAAAGCAGAAAGGGGCACACTTTAAAGATGGTGGCGGGTGGGAGCATTCGGACAGCAATGGTGGCTGTGTGGAGATGGAGCTGTTAATGCTAGGTCTGGCTTCGGAATCCAGCCTTGAACGTCTGCAAAGTATCAGCAGGTAGCCGGGAAAGTAGAGTGAGAGGCCTGAGGCTTAGGGAAAGATGAAATGGCGTTGTCCTGGCTGGTATATTTTGTAGTAACAAAAAGAATCTTTTAAGTACAGGGCAGGAGGGGGAGGAGAAGGATGGTGATGGTGAGGTTGAGGAAGAGAAGGAGGAGAGGGAAGGGAAGAGGAGGAGGAAGGAAAGGGAGGAAAAGGAGGAGGAAGTGAACTGGATGGGTTTTTGCACGCTATAGATCCATTAGCGATTTACAGAGACGCATTCACTGAAATGAATATGTGTTCACGGGTTCTGTTCAGGAGATATTCTCAGTAGAAACAGAACATCAGACGCCAGCATTACCGCAACTCTAGTTATTTGAGTCGGGCAAGGGAAGGTGAAGAAAGGGAAGGGAAAGCACTTGTGCAGGGATGCACCGACATTACACACTTGCCACATAAACATCAAGACCTGAGTTCCACACTGGAACCCACATTTTAAAAAGCCAGGAGTAACAGCACATGCTTCCAATCCCAGCGCTGGGGAGGCTGAGAAAGGAGAACCTCTGGGGTTCACTGGCCACCCAGTCTAGCTCAATCAGTAAGCCACAGGCCAATGAGAGACCCCATTTCAAAAAAAAAACAAGGTGGACAATATAAAACCAAGGTCGACCGACCTCTGGGTCTCTGTGTGCATTTACACACACACACACACACACACACACACACACACGAAAATCACACGCTGGAGAGATGATGGCTCAGAGGTTAAGAGCACTGGGTGCTCTTCTAGAAGACTTGGGTTCAATTCCTAGCACCCACATGATAGCTCACAACTGTCTGTACCTCCTGTTCCAGAGGAGCCGACACCCTCACACAGACAAACACCAATGTACATAAAATAAAAATAATAAAATTATTAAAAAGAAAATTACATATATAATAACTAACAGCCATACTCCAGCTACTTCTCCATTGGATACCTGTCACATGGTGAGAATAAATCAGTTAGAAGAACACAAAGAATCATAATGAATTGAGCAGCAAACGAAAGTAGCCCAATAGGGTACTAGAAGCTGTTAAGCATTCCACAGAAGTTTTGTTTGATTGACAGTTGATGTTTAGCAAGAAACCCCATCTGACTGAGGGTTGCAGATGTCTCTTGAGTGGTCCCTGGAAACTGCATGTGAGATGTGAGCTCTGAAGCGCCACTGAGAATCGATAGAACTAAGCTGGTGCTGATGCATTTCCTGCAAGCAGATTTTACGCTGAGTCCTGTAGCAGCAGACACAGGAGGCTCTCAGGAGCAGCCCCATAGTAAACCCTGATGATCTGCAGAAGGCAAGGGGCATTGGAACTATCCACCAGGCTGGGGGAGGTACCTCTGATGGAGGCTGGTACTGTGCTTGGTGTCAATCACCTCTTTGGAACCAGAGGGGATATCTCCACAATTCCACACTGCTTCTGTTCTATTGCTTAAACCGCCCTATTTGGAATATTCCCCCAATAGCAACACACACACACATGTTCTTCTCAGTTACTATTTATTGGCCTCCTGCTCTAATTTGCTCCAGCAAATGTACTTTCCCACTTGAACAGATAACCCCCACTAAATATGCTTAGTAGAAAACAAGGTCTCATCTCTTTGATGCTCATCAGGGGGAAAAAAAGCAAAAGAGTGGAATGTGGGAGGCATTAGCATTCCATGAGTCACCACCTTGCGCTGGCCACTTCAGGTTCAACTTAGTTTAGTCTCTCTGACATCTCTTTGTGTTGGTGTTAGGATGGCTGAGGGTACAGAGCCTTAGGAAGGTTAACTGTAGACCTCAGATTGTCACAGAGGAGGGACGGGAGTAAGTTTCAATTCCAGGCCTAGGTCCATAGGTCTTACCCAGGCCCCTTCTCTCGACCCACAGTGCCTCCAAAGATCACTTTTCTTATTATTACAGAGATGCTCAGCAGCACTTAAAAAAAAAAAAAAAAAAAAAAAAAAAAAAAAAAAAGGGAAAAGGGCAGATTAAGCTGTCTGAACAGGCAGAGCCTAGCTCGTATTAATAATTTAGGTCCCACTAAAGCTGAAATGAAGCCTCAGGAAAACAGGTCAAAGCCGAGAATGCCAAATGGATGTAAGAGGACTCTTCCCATCTCTGACACAAACCAAATCCTGCCTAATCCACCGGAAAGGAAATAAAAACAGAACGCCTATCACATGCCAGGCAGATGTCTGCCTCGTTATTCCATCTTATTGTGTGGGAAATGCACTGTGATACGTAGTAGAAAATCTAATCATCAGCCTCTAAAAGACAAGGCCTTCCACAGGAAGCTTGACGACGACAAAGTCTGGGCTAACACACCTGGCAGCAAGAGGAAGCCATGCTGTGTTTGCGGCAGGATTGTGGAAAATGAAGACGATTGGCCAGGTCCTAACACAGCAGGGAATCAAGGGACACACACACACACACACACACACACACACACACACACACACAGAGAGAGAGAGAGAGAGAGAGAGAGAGAGAGAGAGAGAGAGAGAGATAGTTCATGGGATCAAACCCAGGGCCTTATGCATGAAAAACAAGAGCTCTGCCACTGAATTATTCTCTAGTCCCAAACACATCTTAAAAACGTATTCCTGATCCAATTTCAGGCAAGACAAGGCACATTCAAAGTCCTTTGAACTGAATTACTGAGCGGAGCCGAGGGAGATTATCCGGATCACCAATTCTCCACTAATGAAGACAAGTGACTGTATGAACCTCATGAGCCCAGGTTCCCAGCATTAACATATCAGCGCTATTTGGAATAAATGTGCATAACAGACACATTTATTTTACGATAGCAGAGGGTGACTCCAGCTGAACAGGCATGGTAAGCAGGGGTCCTTAATAAAGGTCATGCTTCAAAGGAAAGATATTAATTACACCCAGCAATGTTTAACATAGATATGGTTATCCTCCTGTTACTTAAAGGCAGGCAACTGCATGGACAGAGGTAAGCAGATACACTCGTAGTGTTACTGAATCAAGTTGGTGGCTGGGTTACTGCACCTGGTGACAGCAGGACAGGTCCTCACGGAGAAGCACAGAGCAGTGCACAGTGAGGAGGCTCAGTGACTTCAGGAGCTGTGCTCACTTCTAGCACATTCCGTCTCCTCACCTCTGACCCAGTATGACAATAATGTGGCCAAAAGGAAGAAGACTAGAAATCGAGGAATATCTTAAGAATGAGTTCTTTTTTCAAAGTTACAGGTTTACTCATGGTATCTCCTGGACCAGGAATTCACACGCCTAACGTCAATTGCCATTGTTATGGTACCCGATTCAACTTGTTCTGTGCTTTGCAATAATGCTTAATGTCCCTTTTGCATCTGCAGATTGAAAACCTAAAGCTCAAGCCATGCGCCATTACTTAAAAAGCACCTTTTAAGCTATTTACTGTGTAACGAGTATCATTGACGGTAAGAGGCATATGAATGACGCGAAGCTGATTGGAAAATAAAATGCTGGACAATCAAACTGAACGATTTCTCCAGGCGTAAAGATTGCTATGCTGGTGAGGACCTCGTCACTAGAAGAGTGACACAGAACTGCGGGGAAGCCCTTTACTCTCACGGCCATGGGTTTGAATTCTGCCACTGTTTTTGTCTACCACTGATAAATTCATTTTCCAAGTCTCAGCGTTTTATTCTTTTTTTTTCTCCTCTTTCCCCTCCATTGGAAAAATGGGAATGGCTCCAGCTTTCTCAGAAGATGTATTCAAACATTAATGGAAACAACAGTCTTTGGTACCTGTCAATCATATGACTGCAAATTGAACCTAACATTTGCTAGTGGGCTTCCTCAGATTTCAAACTGAGTTTGCTAACAAAGCCTAGAAACATTTAATTGTGAATATTTACTTTTACTATTTTAGCTAATCTCCTCCCTCAAATTAAACTTTGTGTCCACTGTCCTCACAGCTAAGGGGAAGCAAAGACCACTGATAAGGCCCAGGAGATTTTTCTGTACTGAAAATCAGGAATGATTCTGGCAAACCCCACTGGGATTCAGTTTTAACATTCTGTCATCATCTCAAACAGCTTTCTGATGTTGGTGTCAGCTTCTTACCTTTCTCTACACTGCATTTTGATCTCTACTCTCTGAAAAGTTGCCTGTGTTGAGTAAGCTCTTAAAAGTCATATTCTTCTATGGTCTTTTCATCAAATGATTAGGATAAAATGCAGGACTGGAAAACACGGAAACAGACTTATTAAAAAAGAAGGGAAAAAGCCAATCAAATATATTTGGGATTTATTGTATGCTTAGCTATTTATCTCTGGTAGGGATATGGTCTTCTTAAGGTAAATGGATTTTTGAAAAATGAAGTGAAAATGATTTGAAGTTAAGTCAACTTGTCATACTTCACTCACAGTGTTTCAATCTGTCATGTTCTTCCAGGAGGAGGGGATAAAAGGAAGATAGGGTCCCATGCAAAGGCCCCCCAGCGTGGGGCCCCCATGGCACCTCAGTATTCAGAGATATTCTGAGGGGTGATTTGGAGGCTACTCGAGGTGCAGAATGTTGGGAAAGGCATACGATGGAAGGAGGGGTTGACCTGGGTTTGAATTCCCCCTTTACACCAATGCCACATTAGGTAATATGCTAGAACTTTCTGAGCACAGTTTTCCCAACCAGGAAATTGTAAACATCACACCCTTGCATGAGAACTCAACACATTGATCTGCTTCACACATCCAACATCCTTCTTAGTTTGATGACTTAGGGCTCAATTAATAAAGGAATGGGAAAATTCTGCTCCACACTCTTGCTGAATTCTTTAGAAATAATAAAAAAAAATCATGAGTGTGTGGTGAAAAGATTATGCCCAGGTGTCCAACTCTGTCCTTCTGTTGGGATTAAGGTGGACAGGATCACAGGAACACTGGCCAGTGTGAGGGACAGTGATGAGCATGTGTCAGTGTGAGCAGGAGCACAGCATGAAAACTTGCTGTGTGCAACTGGAAACTTTATAGGCTATGCTGGTTGGGTTTTGTCAACTTGATACAAACCTACGCATACCTGAGAAGAGAGATTCTTATTTGAGAAATTGTCTCCAGAAGACTGATCTGTAATCAAGTCTGTGGGGCACTGTCTTGATTAATGATTGATATGGGAAACCTCAGGCCACTGTGAGTGCCACCAACCCTGGGCAGGTGGTCTTGGGTTGTATAAGGAGGATGGCTAAGAAAGCCACGAGAAGCAAGCCGGTAAGCAGCACTCCTCCATGGCCTCTCCTTCAGTTCCTGCTTCCAGATTCCTGCCTTGAGCTCCTACCCTGACTTCCCTCACTTGTGGACTGTGACCTGAGAGTTGTAAGATGAAGCAAACCTTAGCTTCCTTGTGTTGCTTTTGGCCATGCAGCAACAGATAATACTTAACTAAAACAGAGGTCCTAGAATGCAGTTTCTTAGAAATTCAGCAGAAGGGGTTGTGCTGGTGAAAATAGTCAATGATCACTATGAGTTCTGGAGGTAGGCAAGATATGCTGGTCAGATATTCATCCCCACTAAGTTCCCAATGGGCACAAACTATTACATTACCTCTTCAGTAGCCAATATATTGGCTGTTTTCACCAGCACAGGGTATGAAAAAAACATATGAGTGCACACGCACATGCTCTCGGTACACACACACACACACACACACACACACACACACACACACACACACACACACACAGCACAACACACACACACACACACACACACACACACACACACACGATGTATCTTGTAGACAGTGAAGGGTCATACAGCTCAAGGAATTACCTTCCACCAAATAAATACTTCAACATTTCTGGCTCAATTTTCAAAATGAAGTCACTCATTCAGGGAGTCATTTCCCTGTGAACATACATTGTTCCTAAGCTTTTTTGTTGTTGTTTTACGCTTATTTACTTCTGTGCAGGGGTGTGCCACGGCACATGTGTGTAGGTCAAAGGACAACTTGAGGGAGTCAGTTTTTCTTCCTGTACCATGTGGGTCCCAAGGATTGAGGCCAAGTTGTCAGGCTTGGAGGCAAGTGCCTTAACCTGCTGAGTTCCTGTGCATATGGTTCTGGAACATTCTTGAATATCTACGTAGGTGATCATTCAGAAATTGAGAAATTAATTAACAATGGTGTTAATGAATACAAAGTGTAGTTAACACGGGAATCTTTGAGAACAGTTCTCAGAGTGATGGATTTAATTCCCCAAGGGCTGAGGGATACTGTCCGAAGAGCTGAACTATAGGACTCAAATGCTATGTGGGGTCAGTGATGTAGTCATGAGATTCTATTCACCAATCAATTAAGTGAATAACGACAAGTGCTCATGATCTGCAGAAATGGTCAAAAGTATCCTCAAATTGTCTTATAATTCCTCACCACCCTTTTGGCTATAGCTATTCAAGTCCATTTGAGATGAAGTGACAGCAAAGGAGGCCGGGAACCTTGCTAAGTAACTCCCCAGATTCCAGGAAGCTGGCAAGATGAGCAGCTTTACTGTGTCTCTATTAAAAAAATAAATATCCCTGTTGATCAATATGGGAGCTGACACCCAAAGAAATGCTTTTCCAGGCCCCATCACCAATCAATAGCAGCTTCACTGTGAAATGACATCCATCCTCGGTCACAGATTATGAAAGTAACCCTCAGCCTCATACCTTTCTCTATACCACTGGTTTCCAGCCTTATTGATAGCTTGGTCCTCATAAAATTAACCATGCTTTCATACTTTCTTCAACTGTATAGGCTTCTTTCTTATCTTTCTGTGTGATGTGCATGGTGTGTGTGTGTTTGTGTGTGTGTGTGTGTGTGTGTGTGTGTGTGTGGTGTGTGTTCATGTGTGAGCACATGCATGCTGTGGTGCATGCGTGGAGGTTAGAGACCAACCATGGGTATTGGGTCCTCTCCTTTCACCTTGCTTGAGTCAGGGTCTCTTGTTTGCCCACTGGAAACACCATGCTGACTGACCTGAATTGCTGTGCTCCTCATCTCTGCCTCCCATTTCTTTGTGGGAGATCTAGGTGTATTCTGGGGATACAAACTCAGTCCCTCATTCTTGTGAGGAAAGTATTTTGCCCACTAAATCATCTCCCTAGCCCTGTACAGACTTCTTACAGAACTGTATTTCACTAGGGTATTACTGTTTGCACGACTGAAGTTACAAGGGTCTGTAGAGATATCTCCACATGGATGACATATGTGTCAATATCTCTACCTTCAGTACCAAGTACCCAAGTACATCCTGGACTAACTTCCTTCCTAGTCCCCCATCTCTTCTTCTCATTCTTCACTATGTGGTCCACATACAAGAAAGGAGAGCTATGTATGGGTCAGATGTGAATGGTAGTATTGGCTCCAATCCAATTATTTAGAAAGACATTGGTGACTGAGAAACACTAGACTAGTTCCAGTTAAACCAAAGAAGAAACTGAATATATATAGGCAGCTGCTGTCCTGGATGGTGCTGACCATCCCATTTCATGGTACTTTGGTTCTCCAAAGGCCCAGCATCTTCAGAGAATCAGACGGGTGCCAGAGTAGAACCCTGACTGTGTGTTGTACATTCATACTGGATTTCCACTGCTTTGTTCTCTTTCAATTTATACAGACCAGAAGAATGCTAATTTCGGCAAAACTACAGGGGGACGTTGGTTTTTCAAGTGTGTTCTCTCTATACAAATACTTTTTTAGAATAAAATTAGGATGATATTACAATGTATACAGGCATTCCCCTTCGGTGTTGAAGCTATACATCAACATCTATAAATAAACATTTTTCTGTGACTGGATTGCACTTAAAAACTATTTTAAATGTATAACTATATTATCTGAAGTATAACTGATTACACTATTTTAGGCTGCTGCATCCAAACATAAACAACTAATAAAAATTCCAACTCCTAAATCATTTAACTTTTAATATCTCAAAGGGGATCATTCTTCTCTTGATACAAGCTTCACCTTAGACACCCATTATTAAAGATCCCAAGAGAACCTCTCAGAAGTTGTGACTAATGTAACAAGGGAGTGAGAATGGCACAGACCCAAGGCAGAACTGCAAAAGGAACCTGAGTTGTGCTGACCTCTTAACACATGGATCACACTGTGTTCTTACAGCCCCGATACAAATACGCAGACTATGAAGAATGCAAAATGGCCCCCAGTACACAGGAAATCTACCAAAATATTTATTTGTTTGTTTGCTTGTGATCCTTTACCCATCTATGAAGAGCAAGTTGTACTCTGTCTAAATTCGGCCAAGGAGGGCCCTATGAGTCCCTCCTTTGTGTTACCAGTACCAAGGTCTCACTATGTAGCCCTGGGTGCCCTGAAACTCACTATATAGCCTAGGATGTCTTTTAACTCACAGACTGGGCTCACAGAGATCTGCCTGCCTCTTTCTCCTGAGTGCTGTGTTAAAGGAGTAGGCCACCATAACCCACTGATGAAGTCTTGTTACATGAATGGATGTGGGTAAAACAAAATAGGGTCAAAATACACTTTATCTGCTGTTTGAACTCTCTGCGTTTCCTCTAAGAAAACTTACGGAAAATGGACGTTTTCTGTGTTGAGATCCCAGAAAACAAAATACAAAGATTACAGATGCCTCGTCTTGTAAAAGGAAAATTAGTCTACAGA